GATGGCCACACTGCAATCCCTTCTCCTCCATTCTCCTCTCAGGATCTTGGGCATGCACGCACACACCCAGCATGAGTTTACACCACCAGGTCTGGGACTTGAACTGCGGTTGACTACATAGGAGTCCGACAACATAGTTATTACACCAACTGCTGGTCCCGAAAATGTTTGACTTTTAAAAATAATTTGTTGAGGGGGCCAGTGAGTGGTGAGGTAGTTGGGGTGCTGGACTCCCACATGGTTAACCATGGGACATATCCTGGACAAAGTATTTTGGGACTCACACTAGGCACATGCCCAGGGTCTCAAGAGGAAAATGGAGGAGAGGGGATTGCAACCTGGCCATCCCCCGCACTGGGGTGATGTCTCATTTTCAGTCTCTCTGTCTCTCTGGTGAACCCACAAGCTCTTCAGAAAAAAAATTTTTTTTCCAGTTAAAATGCATTAGGCTCTACAGATATTAGATCCTATATTATTTAGATTAAAACCAAATTCAATTCATATATGATTATACAGTAGGGCTAGAAAAATCTACATAAGACATTCATGTTCTATCAGAAAATATATTTTATGTCTAGAATATGGACTTTTAATTATTTCTGTTTATAGTGTTTTCTAAAAGACCTAATTGGGTTTGCTACATTTCCAAATATTAATGTCTCACTACAAAGTAGTCGTATTATATTACTAACTATGCAATTATTTTGTAGCATATTAACTTAATAGAAATTGTCATATAGCTATGAAAAAATATATAAAACATGAAATGCTTATAAATTTATTCCAAGAACCTTTTTTGAGTCCTTACTAAGTGTAGAGCACATGTTGAACAAAATGACAACACCCTTGGCCTCAGCATTTTAAATATCTATCTATCTATATATCTATATATATATATATATATATATATATATACACACACACACACAGACATAAAAGTATATAATGTTATTTATATATATATTTACTATTTACATATAACTAAATACTTAATATTTTATGTAAATATGAAAGGTCTTCAAAAATTGATGGAAAAATGTATATTATGAGGAAATTATCCACAGTCTTCAAAATTATTTTGCACCAAAACTAGTACTTTAATTCTATTTTATTCACGAACTTTTTGAAGTCCTGTTGGATACATACTTTTAAAATACAGTGACAGGGACCAGCAGATGGCATAATGGCTATGTCACTGGACCCCCACATAGTAGACCATGGTTCCAGTCCCGGACCTGAGGGCTTAAAACTCACATTGGGTGCTTGTGCGTGAGTGACCAAGATCCTGAGAGGAGAATGGAGATGAGATTGTGGCATGGCCATCTCCCCTGTGGGGGTGATTTTTTGTTTTCTGTCTCTCTGTCTATTTGGTAAGTGCATGTGCACTACAGCAAAAAATCTCTCACAAAAAATTTTTAAAAAAGCAAATATACACGCACATACACACACACACTCACACACACACAGACAAAATATCAAGTTGCTGGAGCTAAGAATGATAGGAAAGGACATTCCTTAAATAGGATGGTCAGAGAAATCTTCTCTGGTGGTAATATTTTAACTAAGATTCAAAGAATGAGAATAAACCACGCAAAGACTCAAAGTATATCAAAGGCAAAACTGTGAAAGTTCTTGATTTGTTAAAGTACTGTAAGAGGGGCCAGCAGGTGGCATGGTGGTTAAGGCACTGGACTCCCACATAGCTGACCACTGAGTCCCAGCCTTGGCAGCTTGCTTTCTCATTTTCTGTCTGTCCGTCTATCTCTCTGGCACATATACCCTAGAGAAAAATCTAAAAAATAATAACAATAAATAAAATTAAATAAATAATTATTTTTTTGAGAGGTTTTCACTTATAAGGCACGTGTGCTCACCAGACAGAGAGAGAGACAGAGAGACAGAAAGCGAGAAATCTCCCCCCAGGGGGGATGGCCATGCCGCAATCCCTTCTCCTCCATTCTCCTCTCGGGATCTTGGGCACGCACGCACACACGCCCAGCATGAGTTTTAAGCCACCGGGTTCGGGACACAAACTGCGGTCGACTACATGGGAGTCCAGCGACATAGTCATTACGCTAACTGCTGGCCCCAATAAATAATTCTTTTAAAAAAGTGTTTTAAAGTACTACAAAAGAAGATCAGTGGACAAGAAGTCCATCCTGGGCTGAGGCTGGGGAAGTAAAGCAGAGGCCTTCTTGGGTTTTGCAGGCTGCAGGAGACAAAGAAAAAATCATTTAAGCCTGGTACAACTTATAATGTGAAAACATCTCTGCAGATGTGAAGAGAAGAGAAAGGCAGGATATTCCTGACCACAAAATGGCAAGAGTACAATTTGGGGTGTTTCCCCTGATGGCGGCAGGCAAACCTTCAGATCCTCCCCTCCTTGCTCATGTCTGTCTATCTGAACAAAAATGCCTATGTTTTGGTGGTGGTTCTTTTTTGCCCACTAAATAACCTTCAAGGACAGAGCAACTATTCCATCTCCTTTGCAAAGCTGTTCCTATTTTATTTCATATTGACCCTGCCTTTCTTTGAATTTTTATAGAACGTTATAGCCTAGGCCACACGATCAGAGCATAAATATACAAGGTCCTACATTGTATTCAATTTCTTTCAAACCTGAATTTATAAACTCAGTTCTCTGTGGGAAAAGACCATATTTTTATCCTTTTCATGCCTGAGTTCTCTGGGAAAAGACCATATTTTTATCCTTTTCATGTATTCTACACTATTTAGACAAGATACTACTTTCACTTTTTTTTTCTTTTTTTGAGAGATTTTTGCTATAGGGCTCATACACTCTCCAGAGAGACAGAGAGACAGAAAATGAGCAATCACCCCCCAGGGAGAATAATCACACCATAGTCCCTTCTCCTCCACTTCTCCTCTTGGGATTTTGGGCACACAGGCATGAGAGCCTGGCAGGAGCTTTAAGCCACTGGGTCTGGGACTCAAACTACATTTGACTATGTGAGAGTCCAGCAAAACAACTATTACCTCATTTGCTAGGCCATCACTTTTAATTGAATAAGCTTGTTTTCTTAACTGAATTCTTCAGACATTTATATTTTTCTTTTCTTTTCTTTTTCTTTCTTTCTTTCTTTCTTTCTTTCTTTCTTTCTTTCTTTCTTTCTTTCTTTCTTTCTTCTTTCTTTCTATTTTTTTAATGCCTGAGAGTACATGTGAATGTGCAAGAGAGAAAGAGAGAGCCCCACAGTGGGTCATGGCATGCTACAAGTCCTTTTTTCCTCCCTTTCTCCATCCTGTCCAGATCCTGGGTGTGCACATGTCCCCGCATGTCTTTCAAGCCACTCAGACCTTACCCATAAGGGGTCCAGCTTCCCCTACACAATGCTTAACCACTACACCACAGGGCTGGCTTCAAATTTGTAAATTTGTACTCATGGTTAAAAGGGGGAGAAAATGGATTTGCCTTTTTATTTATCTCTGAAATAATTCACTAGAAAAAAACCAGACTTCTAGAATCTATGTGGTTGTCATGCCAGGCTCATGCGCATGAGTTTCTAAGATTCCAAGAGGAGAATGGAGGAGAAGGGATTGCAGCATGGCCATTCCCCCTGGGGGGTGATTTCTCACTTTCTGTCTCTCTCTCCAGTGAGTACACACAACCTAGAGCAAAAATCTCTCAAAAACAAACAAAAAACAAAACAGAGTCTATGTGGTTGAAAAATTAAGACCAAGACCAGAAGAATTATTAAATGGTATTGATTCATGCATCACTCCTCGTGTCTGCTGATACGAAGTAGAAGAAGGGACTGTATAGGTGAGACAGCAGCAGCAAGTATCTAATTGTTAATGTTGAATGAGAAATTGTGGCAAATTCTTTTCCAAATACCACAGGGTCTTATTTCTATCAAAGAGAAACATTTTTATGCAACTATTCTCTGACATGTAAACATTTGAACTTTTTTTTCTTTTTTTTTT